ATTTTGTATAGAGTTTACCCCCTCTATGTATATTGGTAGCTTTATTTCCCCAATCGTGTGTTTTCTTTCCCCACTAAATCCTATGAGGAAAGAGGATCTCTTGATTATCTATGATTCTGGGATGTTCATCCATTTTAGTGCGTCTAGGAGTAAGATGTTGACCGAGGATCCTACGTCAACAAGGATCCTTCTAACTAAATGGTTGGCCATGTACAGTGCTATCACGAGTCCGTCATGGTGAGGATCCGGAATCCCTTCCCTGTCTGTCTTGTCAAATGTGATTTCCTTTTCACTGCTAACCATGGTATTCTTCTGTTATCTTCCTATTCTGTTTTAGAGACCATGACGTGTCTTTTAGCCTGAGAATAAGAAGTAACACAGATGTTAGATCCGCCTGAGATAACATTAATTATCTTAGCGTTAGAGGGTGGAGATCCTGGTTTCTCCGGGATCTTGTGACCATCCTGGCTGTTCTCCTCGAATTTTTCTCTTTTTCTCCTGAGGATCTCTTTGAGGTGTCCCTTGCTAAGGAGGTAGCTAATTTCTTTTCTTAGGGCAATACATTCCTCAAGAATGTGACCGAAGTCTCCGTGGTAAGCACACCATTTGGACTTGTCTTTCCAATTGGTGGACTTGTTATCCCTCTTCGACCATCTTTCCTTGTCTCCAAGATCCTGCATAGCATGAATTATACCTGAGATATCCACAGAAAAACAATAGTCAGTGATCTTAGGAAGTTCCTCTTCTTCTCCTTCATCTTCGAGGGCATTGACCCTGTGATGATCCGGATTGGAATACGGCTTCGATTTGTAGGATCTTAGGGTCGAGGTATCGACCTTCCTATTGGGATTCTCATATCGACTCGAAGGGTTGCTTCTCTTATGGATTTTTTATCCTCTTCAAGCCTTATGAACCTCAATGCTCGGCACCTGAATTCGTCCAATCTTTTGCATGGGGTCATCACAAGGTCTTAATAGAAGGGTCAGTCCTTCCTTAGTCCCATCATGAAGGCCTCTACAACAGTAGCCATGTCGATGTTGGGGATGCTCAGAGCTTCGCTACCAAACCTATTAACGAAATCCCTAAGTCTTTCTTTAGGATCCTAAACCACTTGATAGAGATCACTAGTGATGTTCTCGAAGGTTCTACTGCAAGAAAACTGGTTATTGAAAATATTGACTAAATGTGCAAATGAAGTAATAGAGTATGGGGGAACGTTTAGCAGACACTTGAGAGCTGATCCTGTAAGGTTCGAACCGAAGCCTTTGCATAGGCAAGCTTCCTTCAAGTGCCCTGGAATGGGAATGATCTCCATCCTTTCTCGGTATTGTGCTATGTGCTCTTCAGGATCTGTAGTTCCATCGTAAAGCTTCATGCTAGGAGTTTGGAAGCGCTTAGGAACTTCGGTATCGGCTATCGCGGGAGCAAATCTTGAGATCATGTGACTTGTTGGAGATGCTTCTGGTATGGGTTGGACCACCCCGGGTACGCTTGAGATCATTTGTCTCAACTATTGAAGTTCCCTAGCCATGCTTGGATTTATTCTTGCATCAATATTAGTATAGTTAGTATTAATAGTATTATTGCTTAAGAAGTTACTAGAATCAAGGTTTCTAGGAGTGTTGAAAGGCTCATTGAGATCATTGATCATAGATGCTCGGTTGTCTATAGTTGTCCCCCAGGGTGACGCCACAGTGGTAGGAACCGTGTTCTTCTGGTGATTTTCTGAGGATCCTGCATTATCGAAGTTCAGGATCCTTGGTTGTACGACTGTGGGCGCTGTTTCCTGGGATTTCTGAAATTCTGCCTTCATCCTCTCTACTTCTCTGAGCAGTGCTCTCTTCTCCTCCTACTGTTTGGTCACTTGTTGTGTCATTTTCTTCATCATAGCGAAGAGTTCTGCAGTAGTGACCGAGGCAGTCGGATCCTGGAGTCCCGAAGATCCCAAACTTTCTTGGTTGGTGACCGGAGGGGTTTTTTTCTTGGAAGTGTCGGGCATTTTCTTCTGACCATGGGGCCCACTCGGAGGAGGCAGTAGGTTTTTAGTTGGAATGGAAGGAGCGGAGGATGAAGAAAGGATCGGTTGTGTAGACATGATCTTTTGATGATTTTGAACACCATGGCCCCACGGTGGGCGCCAAATTGTTTTGGTCAAAAATTACACAAGTAGTAATCAACCTAATTGAATGAGAGGTTGTGATATTCGAGTTGTATAATAGTAAATGATAAAGAGAATGACACAATGATTTACAAGGAAAGCCCTTGATCCTTGCTAGGATCTCCGACACAAAACCTTGGGAGGTGATAATGATCACCTGCCATGATGATTTTAATAATATAAAATGATAAATACAGAGAATTTTAGTAAGAACAAGTGAATAAATTCATAGAGTAAGCTTAGAGTAAAAACCAGTGTGTTGTGTGCGAGATAAAAGTGTCAATTTTTAGTTTAAACTAGCCAACAAGATGTCCAATATTTTCGGGATACTCTATGACCAGCTTCACGAACGTTACTTGACTAAGTATTTCGGGTCTTTAGCATAGTTGAGATGATTCTTCGTTGAGAATTGGTCTTCCCTTGTCTACTTCTACACATGTGTTAGTTATGCTAGCATACTATCATATGTGTTTAGTTATATGTTTACTATGATGTTTATGCGTATGTTGAGAAATGCATATAATATGTATAATGGATAATGGATAAGTGTTATGATTACCCATTAAGCCATAAGCTTACAATTTCTTTTCTATGTTTTAGTTGCAGGTTCTTCCGGTACGAAGGGAAATGAGCCGACTTGATTAGGATATCTGGACATTCTCAGGGGCATGACATCCTTTCATCTTTATCTTTTGTGTTTGATTTCAAAACAATAACTTAGATTCCACATTTGACAATGTTTTTGTAATACTATGTTTTATATTTTTATGGATGGAACCCCTATTTTTGGAAATGTCATACTCTGATTTTGAAAAAATTGAAAATAAGTTTTAGGATGTTACATCATTATAAAATATTTTGTGGTCGCATACGTTTATAGGAAATTCATAATAATATTCTAGATTTAAAAAAAATATATTTAAGTTATAAAATATAAAAATATATTGAAAAATTAAAAATAATAATTCCACAACATATTTCTAGAATTGAAATTTCAAATTTGAAAAAAAAAAAGTGGAGGTTAATTTGAAATGTTACATGGAAAAAATAAAGAACTCATATATTACTATAATAAGATTCTAATTTAAATAATATATTAATTATATATTCATAATTACTATGAAATTGCGCCTTTTGAATTATTATTAATGGTCAATGACAACTATAAAATAATTCTTATCAAAATCTAAAAGTGGTTCTTAAGTCTTTACAAAGAATCTTAATGATACTATAAAATACAAAATAGTTAGGAAACATTATTAACATATAACTAAGTAAGCAAAACAAAACACTCTTTAATGGATTGTATTTTTATCCCTTATTAAAAAATACAATTTTATAGAAAAAAGTGTATATAAAAGTAAACTACTACTATAATACAACACATTCAATACAAACATTTTCAGAAAATGTTGCAAACAACAACACATTTACATGGAAACTAAGGTTTCAGAGCATCTTAAACAATCCCCACTTGGTTTCAGAGCATCTTAAACCATCCCCACTTTCAGACGAAACCAAAAATTATACAATAAAAACAACCTTAAATAAGCCTTCATCTACTTTGGAAAAAAAAATATACTTTTGTGCCAAAAGTTCTTACAAACTTGAACTTAAATACCAAACTTTGATGTAGAAATTGACTTTGTCAAAATTGAATTGTTGAATGTCACCCTTCTGAGTTTTCCATGTTGAACCAAATGAGAGGTCATCGAAATAGCAGGTTTAACATAACATGCAGATGTAGTGCAACGAGCATGATAAATACCATTAGACTATCTCAGGTCGATTTTAATAACTTATGAACCTTTTGTGATTTTCAAAACCATATTCACATAAAAATTTGTAACCTTCGGCATAAAAAAATGCTTAGGGAGATGAGTGTTCTTTTAATTGTGGGAATATATCGGACACCAGTTAAAGTTCAAATAATGTCATCGAACATTTAGAAAAGGATAGTGCATTAGAAACCATCAAATCCATGAACTCACTTAACATTCTGAAGTGGTTCAAAAGTAGTAAACCAATCTTTGTGAGAAAAAATTTGATAACACTAGTACAAAAAATCACACACGCCAAACCATAAAATCATGGCCAAATGTCTTTATCCAATGTTCGTTTTTACTTTCAAAGTGTTTCCTATATTCATGTCACTTTTGGTACTTATGGCTACATTAAAATACAACGCCTATATCACATCAAAGTCTGTAGCCATATCATATAACTGTGATTATGTGGTAGCTTCTTTGTCGTTGTAGGTAATCATTTTTCCATTATCTATGACCATATATGCAAGATTAATGAATAACTCAAGCATCATCAATAATTCCAACAATAACCACAATCGACACACCTCCAATAGTAACAACAGGAACCTCATCGTTGGAACTACGTCAGGAGGATGGTTTCAAAATCATGATTACCCTTTGATTTATCTATGAAACTCATTTTTCTTTATTATAGAATTTATAACACTCACAAATTTTATGAATATATTTTTTGCAATACTTGTATAACTTGTTATTGCCTTTACCTTTTGATATGCCCCAAATAGATAACATTTTAGCTTGAGAACTACTTGCCCATCATTAGAAACCATTTGTTCAATCTCTTCTTGAAGTACAATTGGTAACTTAGCCATCTTTCCAAAAGCCAATTACCTTTATCGATTAACTCTATAACCTTTATAGGTTCGTTATATGCACTAACAATAATGTCATCATTAATCACACTCATATATGAATATACAATATGTGAATGCAAAAGAAGAAAAATATTAAAAGTTCAATAACATGTGTTTATTATTAATGGTAATTTACGATTAAGTTAATCTAACATTAATTCAATGTTATCACATCCTTGTAACTGAACATAAAATTATAACAATAAATTTCCTTTTTCATGATCTCCATTTGCTTCTAAACTATTTGTATTAAGAAAATCATTCATATAATACTCGAATTTGCTAACAACACTCTTAGGCAAGGATACCAGAACTCGAATAGCATTAGGATCACCAATAACCGGCAAAAACAAGCAGTAAATGTCACTAGTAAGAGGACCCATGTGTAATGGCTTACCTTGTCCAAAGTTTAAGTCCTCCAACCCTAACTTAGACCATTGTGATATAATTAAGCTTGCACTGAGATCAGTTGTCACAATTTTGTCCTCTAATAACTCTACAATACCATTTACACAGTCGTCAGTTAGGGTAGACTTGGCTTCTTGCACCAATTTCACGACATAATACAAGTTACTATCAACCAGTTCTTGTACAGTGGATTTGGCACAAGCCAACACAAACCCATTGCCGTAATATCCTTTTGGAATCTCTGGTTTTACTTTATTCCGAATATTCATCGAGAATAAAAGCTTTACTTCGAGAGATGGTGCAAGATCAAGCGATTTAACCCATGAACGCCACGTATGAGATGCTAAGACTTCAAAAGTGGTACATTTAATAGATGGTTCACATAGAGACTTGAGATGAAGGGTATGGGAAGTGGTGTAAGTCAATGATGCAGGAACGAGCAGTTGAGATTGTAAATATCGATTAAGGGAAAACCCAGTATTGGAATGATTTTTGGTAAATGCAGGATGAAGTAAAGGTGGTAAGTGTGAGGAAGGAGACCGAGGCTTAAACAAGTGACGTGAATGGAATGGTGTTGGTAGATGACTGTCAATAGCTTTGGTGATAAGGTGGCTCCAAGCATGTAGGAACTGAGATGTACCAATGCCGTCGCATAAACAGTGGTTGATGGCCGTGCACATAATCATTCCTCCACATCGAAGTTTCGTCACCTGCAATCAAATCATCCAAGGAAATAATAGGAAGTTAGTTTAATAAAATTAGATATATTAAACAATTTTGATGGAGATATATTCAAACTCTTATTATATATATATATATATATATATATATATATATATATATATATATATATATATATACATACTAGGTCGTTTTGTATCATATATGCATTACAATGTTCTTAAACTTCAACCCTTAACTTGATTTATTTCCAAGATTTTCGAAATTTCACTATTATCTTCCTCTTACATCACATCTTTATGTCGAACACCTACCATACTATATATATTATAGTTGCAAATGAAAATTAAGTAAGATGAAGATGGTGGTGAAATTTCTAAAAATCTTGCAAGTAAATCAAGTTAGGAGTTGAATTTTTAGAATTTTAAACGATTATAATGCATATATGATACAAAACGATGTAGTATGGTGATTTTGGTACCTAAACTTATATACCTTGTAGGGCATATTCACTTTTCCTTTATATATATACTAGGCGAATACCCGCGCGTTGCGCATAATACAACAATATATTTGAAATTTTTACAAATATATGTTTTTTAAATATATCAATGACATTGTTATTAGCTTTTATATAATAAATCTTATAATAAGTTGGTATAAACATTTTTGTTTTGAATTATATCATAATGATATCTTTTAAAATTGTATAATCCTAAGTGTCTTAATGACGTCTACCTGCAAGTTACTTATGAATAAAATGAAATATAATATATGATTTAATGAAGTTTATAGGTGTTGTTATGATTAATTAATTTTAAAAACTTTATTTGCTTAAGATTTTAATTTCTATCATTGTAATTATTTAAAACATCAAACATCGTTTTTGTTTTTAAAGACAACAATATAATTTTTGTATATAATTTTACTTTTAACTATTGTTGTTGTAAGTTATTTAAAATAACGTATTTCGAAACTCTTAATTATTTTAATTTGGTTTTAGAAATTTAATGTTTTTAAAATTTATTTGATGAATATTTTTAGTTTCTATAATTGTAGTTATTTAAAACAAAAAACATTATTTTTGTTTTTAAAGAAAATGTTATAATATTTTATACAATATTACTTTTAACTATTCTTATTGTAAGTTATTTTTAAACTGTTTATTTAAAAATTGTTAATGATTATCAAAAATAGTTCATGGTTTTTTTGTTAATTTAGGATTAGAATTTAGGTTTAACACTACAATTTATAATCTTTAACTATTTATAAAACAGTCACTCGATTTTTTTCATGTTTAACTGAAATTTTGATTTAAGTTCATTGTTTAATAATTATATTGACATTAATAATTTAACTATTTTGCACCATCTCATAAATTATACAAATGTTGTGACTTTAAAATGATAATTGCTCACATACGACAACATATTTAAACAATTAACTTAACTATGATATGTTAAAAAGTTAAAATCATAATTTTATAAATAGAAATATAATATGAGATTTTAATATTATAGTTTAATCAACCGTTTGAATGACTTTTACCCGCGAGCTATACATGAATAAATTTAAATATAATATATTGTTTAATGTTATTTATAGTTGTTGTTATTGTTAATTAATTTTTTAAAATTTATTTGCTTAATGTTTTAATTTCTATCATTATAATTTTTTAAACGTCAAACATTGTTTTTTTATTTATTTTAAAGGTAACAATATAATCATTAATATAGAGTTATATTTAACTATTGTTATTATAAGTTATTTTAAGCTACTTATTTGAAAATTTTTAACGATTAAAAAAATATCTTTAGGAAGTATTTTAGTGAAATTGAGATTACAATTTAGTTTTTGCATTTATCACTACAATTTATCATTTTTAACTATTTATAAAATATTCTTTGGATTTTTAAGTGGAACTGAAATTTATATTTAAGTTGATACCGTAATGTTATATTTAAATTAATAATTTAAGTATTTTGTCCAAACTGTTCAAAAGTTGTAGCTTTAAACTGATAATGGTTTATATAGAATAACATTTTAAATCTAGTAAATTAAGTATATAATATATTAAAAGTTAAATACATAACTTTATAAGTAGAAGTAAAGATATTATTTAAAATCGAAATTTAGTTTATTTATGATTACACTTTAGGTTTGATATTTATTTAACTTTATTAACCAACATATAATCATTATTAGAAAGACACTACAATTTATCACTTTTAACTATTTTCAAAATAGTTTTTGGGTTGTTTAAGTTAAACTAAAATTTATATTTAAGTTGACTCTGTAATGTTATATTTAAATTAATAATTGAAGTATTTTATATAAATTGTTTCAAAATTGTATCTTTAAAATGATAATGGTTTACATCCAATACTATATTAAAACTAATAAATTAAGTATAATATGTTAAAAGTTAAAAAAACATAACTTTATAAGTAGAAGTAAATATATTATTTTAATATTGAACTTTAGTTTATATATGATTATACTTTAATTTTGATATTTATTTAACCTTATTAACCAACTTATAATTATTATTAGAAAGAAATTGAAAAGTAATGGAAGTTTCAAATGAATGTGGTGAAAGGAAAATGTTTCATTTATAATATAGTATGATATATA